GTTCTCTGAACCAACCTTTAAGCTCTCTGAGCTGTTGACTCTCTGAGTCGGGTTCTTTGAACCAAAGTTGCACATTGAGCGTAAAGTCTTCCTCTGACTTAAGAAGCTGTGTAGCTCCGCTACAGAACCTAAGGAGGCGAATCACATTCCAAAGAAAACTGGGGCAGCCTATTAATTTAATTGTGAGTCGCCACATCGTCGATGTCCTCGAGTCCAGTTGTAGATGTACTAAAAGGTTCCAGATCAAATTTAGGACTAACGTGAGCTGATGATCTCGATTCCGGTTGTACATGTATCCGAAGGTTCCACATTAAAAAGTCTGTACAAACGTGAGCCGTCAAGAATGCTGTAAAGCGGCCAATGTCCAGGTAGCGCGTTATATTGTAGAGTCGAATAACATACTCCGTCTGCATCGTGAGGCGTGTACCATCGGCTCCCACTTGGCGACTCCACACTGAACCAGAAGTCGGTGCACGCCGATTTTGATGGCGGTAGATCCTTCGCCTGAAAATTACGAGTGTGTTCTGAAGCAATGTCGCCGTAGCTCATTAAAAAATTGAATGTTAATTGACTTCTGAACCGAGTTGTACCCGATTGCCTTCGCCTGACTAAGCTTGGACAGCAATGCCTGAAGATTCACCTTCAAGCGTTCGGCTGCCAGCAGGATATCTTATTTTATTGTCTAAGCATACTGTCGACTAGATGGAATTACCCCTTGTCGTGCCGATGAAAAGAAGAGCTCGCCTTAGTCTTGCAGCTGAATGGTTGTCTGGAGTCGAAATCGATCATTCGCGTTTAAAACCTTCAAAATGAAGTGCGAGCATGACCGGCTCGAGCCGTGGCCCTCCGCCAAACCCTGAATAATTTCCTATTCCTCCTCCGTACCATCCCGAAGCATAGATCACGTGTAGCTCGCGTCCTGCGCTTCACACAGTGAGCGGAGCCGGGCTATAGCAGCCGCCTCGAACTTTCCGAATTAAACATAAACTGCTGATAATTTTCTCGAACCGGGAGTGGCTCCGCCGAGATGGCTGGTGCAGCCCGCCCGGTTACTGTCGCCGCCCATTAGTTCATAACTGTTGACGTGCCCATTTGACCTCACTCGTCATACTCGCCGCAATAGTCGACAGCGACCACGTCGTATTATACAAATCGAGACCCATTTTCCGCACGTTCCTGCACCATTGCTCGAAGGAACATCGATCCACGACACTCACTTGCTCAAAACAGCTGAGGAGAAGCGATGACTCCATCACTTCAGCTTCAGATAGAATTTCTTGGCCGGCGGCACAAGGTCCAGATTGATCTTCACTGATTCGAAGACGCCAGCAAATAACGCCCCTACGGTAGTCTTCCAGGAAGCCCGTTCCTCCGCTTCTGGCTAGGCTCGTAATTATGCCGTGACAGCCCGAAACATCGCTATCGCGCTAATGGTGGGGGAGGCTGAGCCTTTACGTCCTCAGAATTCTGATTAAGACTCATGTCGCTTCCGATGCGTGTCCCCGAGAACAGGGTGCGTATTAGTCGAAGCGAGGGAGTGCAAAGTGGCTTCGAACACTCCCGCCGGACCTGCAGTGTCTGCCTGAAACCGCGAAATGTCCGAATTGCTAGCCGACGAAGCGGCGCTTGCTGAACGCTGCAAACGCCCCTATGACAAAAGTCACACGCATCACTCAATGAGGTAGTCGACGAGGACCCACTGTGGGTAGGACTAGCTCCGCCAATAAATTCGCCCCCGCCTAGCCGACCGGCGCACTCCGCGCCGATATCCCGCGCCCTGTTGTCTTTGTCTGTCGCGGTGTCCGACATGACCGGCTGGGTCCCGTTCTCTTCTGTTTAGATAAAGTGGCCCAGGAATTAGTGTTTGGCCCACACTGATGGTGATTAAGGGGGATTTGTGACTCCTCTTTCTCCAGGTTCTGCAGCGCTTCCTGACCTCAGCAGTGGCTGAGCCGAGTTCCATGCTGACTAGGTCACCCCGTGAGCTGGTGATACGGTTATAATGCTAGACAACCTAGGAACGACTAGCCCGGCTTCTCCTTAAAATTATTACGGAATGGTATGCAAATTAAGAAGTGTAGGTGATTTCAAAGCATTATCGTCAGATAAAATTGGGGATGTTGTCTGGATTACTCATTCCAGACTGATTGGGGACCATATATTTGTATAAGCTAAATGTTCTTATGCTATACTAAAATTGCTAAATACCGTTTGTGCATTGGTAAAATTGAAACTAACTTTTGTCTTGGACACAAAATAGGCAATATCGTTCAGGTGAGTTAGACCAAACTGTAGCTTATATTTAAATAATCCCGGAACATACTTAGTTAAAAACTCCACTTCACCTTTTCACAGCTCGCACGCAGACAAACTGACTGTTATGGAGGAGACCATGAGACGTACGCGTATTGCAGCGCTTGAGGAGAACCTGACTAGAGAGCGCGGTGAACACGCGTCTGACCTCGCAGAGCTCCACAAGGAGATGAAAAGAGAGTGCGATGGAAACGCGGCTAAGCTCGCAGAGCCCCACGAAGAGACGAAAATATAGCGCGATGGATGCACGGCTGAACGCATGCTCGCAAATGAGCTGCATAACTTTAAACGCAATCTCCTGATCTACACACATCACGACGAACGCATCCGCCTCATCGAATGTAACAACCAGTTGATCACCACTGTAGACAAGAAACTGGACAGATTGGGTGGCGTGCACATCTAGATGCATTACAGGATTGATAACTTGGAAGAGCGCATGATGGCCCACCCGATTCGAGCTAGCAAGGAGTACGGCATCTCTCTAGTCGTAGAGAGAAGGAATAATTGGTCCACGATGTCAGGATTTTGGCCGGCCAGAGAACACAAGTGCAGAGCGCCGTCACGATCGCGATCAAAGAAGGCGCGAGGGAATTGATGCCTTTTCAACTTGTAGGCAATGGGAACGCGCTGAGGAACGCCTACGTCGAAGCAGATATCCGTCATTTGTTAGAATCTCTTGGTGGGCGAGCAGTATGTTTCTACCTCTTTGTTTTGTTGCTTGTTATTTTATCGTCATGATAACATTTGTTTATTTATTTGTTTATTAGCAGGGGAAGCGATATCTACTGGATTCGTCATCCGTAATCGTAGAGCGGAAAATGGGTCCAAGGCGTTCGTGACTTTGATCTCAAAACGCGTGAGACGATCACCCAGAACTTGAACAGGAATTTGACGTCGTCGACTGCATGTATGATGAACGCAACCTAGAGATAAAAACAAGATCTGCTTAACGGTAGTATTGTGTAAAATAAGACTTTTTCGCTTTCGTTGTTGGATTGCATGTTGGGTTTTGCTGGAAACCAATCGACTATCGTTGCTGGTGCTATCGGTGCTAGTGGTACAGCTGGAACTGTGGGCTTGATCAAACCAGCGATCATGTTGCTAGGTCTATCGTTGCCAACGAGCTGCTCGTTTGGACGTTGATGGATCGGTCGCTGCTTGATCGGTAGCTGCTGGATCGGTCGCTGCTGGTGCTGCTTTGTATGGTGCCGATTTGGAGGCGCTGTCATCGTTTCAGCTGATGTTGCTGGGCTTGAGGTGCCAGCGATGATGTTGCGAGGTCTGTCGTTGCCGCAAGCTGCTTGTTTAGACGTTGCTGGATCGGTCTCTGCTGGTGCTGCCGTGTATAATGCTGTCGTAACTCAGTAGTTTTCGGCCTTGATATTGGCATTTTGGAGAGATGTGAATGTTGCAATTATGGTCGAAACGAAGATCAAGAATTCTCCAGTCTTCTTTTTTGAATTATCACCAAACTTTCCATCAGTAGTTGTACAATTACCGAACATCAAATTTCGCAGTACAATCGCTAGCGCATTGTCCTGTTGTCTTCATCGCTCGCGGGCCAGAGACAGCTCCTCTCGGACAGCGTTTGTCGAACAGAGCGGACCCAAGCAATGCTGGTGCCTGTGCTTGTTGATGCTGCGGGGTGCGAGTGGAGTTTGCTCGAGTTCCAGGGCGAGTTACTCCCCAGTGGCGGCAAGGGCGCGCTGGACCTGCAGGGGGTGGACATTGGGACACTTCGTTTCGGACACGCGGGCGTACTGACGCTGCGCATTGGGACGCACGTGTTGACTGGCACAGTGCAAACTCTGCCAAAACCGTTTGCGATCCTGCACAAGAGCGACGCCAGTCACGCGATGGACGGGACGACCGACGGCAGTGTCGGAGCAGCAGCGGCACAGGTCCAGTACGAAGTCGTGGGCATTGCCCGCACGCGCGTCGTGTTCGCCTCCCGACCAAAGCCTGTGCTCGCGTAGTCCGTGGATGGAAGAGATCGATGGACACGCGACTTGGGACACTTGAGTCGGGACACGTAGTCCGGGACACTTGCATTGGGACACGCGACGTTGGAGACTGTGAGAACTAATACACGGACGTGGCTCGACTTGGATGTGGCTCGACGCGTGGGGCTATTGCGCTGCTGGCGGTATGGACGTTAGGTGCTAATTGACGATAGCGGCGGCGGCGGGACGTTGTACAAACTTCTTGAGAGTGTTTTCCAAGACGTTGAGGTCGTTGACGGACTGGAACGCAAACCACGAGACGCCGACGTCTAGCGGGTCGTGTTATGTCGTGGCCGCTGGCAATGGGGTCGGCACTTGTTTGCTGCTCTGAGTATTGTCGTTGTCGTCGCCTCCTGCTTGCAGTATTTGACGCAGTTGATGCACGACGATGGCTTCGGCTCTGGTCTCGTCACGTGCGGACCATCGCAGCGTGTTGTTCCCTCGAAGAGCGTTGGCCACTTCACGCGACAGCATACTGTCCGACACGCTGCCTTGTGGCAACGGAGATGGAGGGAACAACAGCGAGATGTACTGCTTGAAGCCACTTGTGCTTTGCGTTAATCGACGGGTGCGAGTCAGAGCTTTCAATTGCTGCACTGCGAACGTCTGGTCATACGAACACTGTTCTTGCGGAAGCGGAGCGGTGAACGACTCGGTGGCTGTCTGTGCGAACGGTGAGATCGAAATGACGGCACGGGCTACGCGAGTCAAGTGCGGCGCATCCTCGACAAAGTCGTTCCAGAACAGCGTCGAGGGCCGACCGACAGTCATTTCCCACGCGACGACGTCGGAAAAGACTCCCGTTCTCTCTGCGTAATCGCCCAATTCGTTCAACAGCTGAGAGCGAACAGCACCACTGCCGTATCCTGCGCTTGGAAACACGCGTTCCGCTAGTTGGACAACTAAGGATTTCACGCGCCGCTTGCCAGCGACTGAAAGACCGGCGCCGGCGACACGCGGATCCAGAAGCACGCACACGAGCTCGTGCGAATTGACGTGGCGTTCAATCATAGACACGGCCACGGACACGAAGCTTTGTTTGCCCTGCTTAGGTATCAGTTTATGGATGTGAAAAAGGCTGCTCCTTCACGTTCATCCGACTTTCGGCAGTGCACGGACTGCAAGCTACACACAATATGTTACATCATGAGTTGTGCCTTTGATGTTGCACCTTCGTCAATCGCGTTGCTTACGTACAAACTACAGCGTTCGAGACTGTTTTGCACTGATGGACTCAGTTTCGGTGCTATGCAACGACAACAAATTCTGCAGGAACTTGAGTTACGAAAGTCGGCTTCTACCTCTGTACCGCAATTCATAGGGCGAAACTTAGCAGCTCGCCGTGAAGAAAAGGATGCACGCTGTATTACGCTTATACAAAGAGATTAAAGAGTTTGCCGTAAACGTATTGGAAAGCACTATGCCCGTTCAGGATAAACTGGTGATTGATGAGATATAAGAGGTAGCATACGAGATGTACAACAACGGTCTTAACTGCTGGAGTACAAACGACATGCGCAGGCGACTGCAATACGAAAATCGGACGCTCTGATGTTTTGACGCCATCCTTAGCGACTGCGGCTGCAAGAAAGTGTAGAGAGCGCACGTAAGGCACCCGTGAAACCCTGTTTCGATGTCGATTAATGCACAGTTTATGTGGTATATGTAGAAATGTTACGCTACAACTGCCGACACATTTGGAGTTATGGGATTGACTGTTGAGCCAGCAAGTGTCCTACCAACTATACCGCTTGCCGTGCAAGAGTCACCATTCCGTCATGTTTATAGCTGAGATTTGCTTCCGGAGCAAATGCAAAGCTGATCGAAGTGCTGCCCGTTGCTTACGACGAGCGAATGATGCTCCTGGTAACTGCAAAATTATCGCCTACTTCTGCCGATGCAGAGTATATCATCATACCCCCGTGTCCATCCTGGCGGCCAAACTTCTCCCATTCGTTAATCACTGTTGCATTCGGCCCCGGACCATAGGCACATCCACCCTTTACACATAGACCAACCGTAGCGCGGGAAAAATCGCCACCTAACTGAGTCTTCCACGCTGCAAAAGTAGTATTCTCAGCCGCCGCGTATATTGCTGCTGCAGTGGCATCGTCTTCATGGACGTTGTACGCCATAATGTTGATCCAATCCACGTAGTCGAGCACCTTTGTCGGAAAGCATCTCGAGTATACTGCTGCGTCGACTGCTGAACATACTGCGAGGTCTCCTTCGCTGAAATAGGCATCGTAGGTCAGCAAAGCCGACGAAGTACCACCACTTTCGTCCAGCGCCTCCCGTGTAGCCTTCAGCAGCTCAATCGTTCGATCGGCACTAAACTGCACCCCAACAGTCTCGTCGTCGAAATCCAAGCCAGCAAACCCGAACTTCGTCACTAGATTGACGGCTGACTCAGCAAACAGCGTCGCGTTCGCAATTACCGACATGTTGTCGTTGTTAGTTGACCCACCAACACTCGCCAGTGTCGAAATGCAGCGCTCGTGGAGGGTTTTCACGCATTGTGTAATGTGGTCATCGGACGACTGGAACGTGGGCACGATAACGCCTTCTGCGACAAGTGCAAAGCCAAAGATCAAGTGAGTGACGCCATCCGGAACGGTGTCACATCCAGCAACTTCGCTTTGCCAGAATGCTACAGTCCGGTCTTTGGCGGCGACAGGAGGGCAGGACGATAGCCGAGTAGACGATGCAGCGGAAGTTGCGCTACTTCCACTCGAGCTCGGCGTATCGCCAGAACTGCTTGAATCGGCAGTCAACGTTACGCCCACCGCGACAATGACAGCAACGAGCACCATTATTCCGCAAATGATTGCAGCCAGGCGTCTCACGGATGTCGAGCGCGGCTTCTTCTCAGGGACATCATGTTGATCGAGCGACCAAGAAGTGTACAAGTTTATGTCGTTTGGACTTGCACACTCTTCATGTGGAAATCGAACCATAAGTGTCTCTGTTGACGGGTAAACGTAAAATGAAGGCTCACTAACAGCGGATTTGAGTGCATTCAGATGCAGACATGCGTGCGGCTGCCACATATGAGCAGCGTGCACAATCTCCGCGCCACAAACACATCATCTCTCCCACACGGACAAAGGTCCTAGTGCTTCAAATGCACATGGAAAAGAGAGTGGCAGAGACAACTACTTGTCGGGACATGATCGACAAGTCTGCTGTTTTAGATAGTTCATGTAGAAACGAGTGTGGACTCTGCTCTGCTTCTGGTCTCGGTCGGAAGTTACAATTGATCTCCTCGTTCCGTCACAAATGCTTTCGCCTTGCACGAAATCGTCAACACTATCAAAATGTCGAGAGCAGATACTTGCTCGTCTCGAAAGTACTACAGACCATGAGTACTGAGCTGAATCAAACACATGCATCGACTGAGTCAATATTTAAAAGGTTCGCTGTCTTTACATACGATTATATATCTGGGATCGAAGAACGGTACGCGAGCGTCAAATCGCATGACAGCTGTGTGAGACGCCGTCGAACAGCAGATTCACTCGAGCAATCATAGCAAACGACGGAACAGGCAAACGAGCTCGAAAGAGAGTTCTAGGCGTTGAGCGTGCGGAGTGTCTCTCATTGACTTCGGTCATAAAGCAGAGAATTTGCTGCTGTGCCAATTTCACGCTAGTTCTAAACAGACGGATGAGCTTTCGCATATTCGCTAGCAATGCGCGACAAATTTTAGCTTTGACAAAGACGGGATAGCGATCAGCATAGATGTACGAAGTGTCTGACGTTCCATATGGCAAACTCGGTGTGCCACGTGGTACCAAATCTTACGTCTGAAAACTCGCTGTCACTTCGTCAGTCGTCGTCAAAGAGCTTGTGACATTTATCTGGCAGCAAGCAAAGCTAGAACTTACCCAGGACGGATCGCTGACATCCGATTGGAGTGTATTTTTTGAGCTATGGAATCGAAGTTTACGGTAGCATTGATGCCAACTTCGCCTTCCAGAAATGCAGTCAAAGCAGATCAGAGGAATGAAGGTTGCGTCATTGGTACATTCGCAATCGAGACCTACGACCATTAGGAAATACGCACAGAGGTTTACTAGTGTTGATAGCTGATTTCATTGTCAATTACTTTTCTACAATCTTATTCTTGCATTGCCGTGTGTCAGTGTGATCTCTTCTCAGAAGCAGGTCGAACTGGTACGCGATGTTGCCCAGTTAAAGATCGACATTGCCAAGAGTCGGCGCACCAATGCATACATTGATGACGTCAAGATTTATTGCTCCAGACAGAGCGGAAACTTCGACAAGAGGACAGTTTGCGGCAGCCATCGAACGAAGATAATACAACCAGCTGCAAAAGTTGACTAAAAGACGCTGCAATGGTGTCATCTTGATAGTATACCACACTTGCAGGTACACTAGGATTCAAGATGATTTGCCAGCTGTGATGAACGCATTGCATCTGCAAGCGACCGACTTAAGAAATTGGCACAAACGTTTCCTGCTGTGTGAAGCGCGACGAATTATAATTCAGCAAAACTAAATGGAGCTTGATGGACATGCTGCAAACTCTTCCGGTCGTGGCAATTGAAGGGATTAAGTCGTACGGGACGTGTTTATTTCTCATGCCAATACAAATTGTGCAGATCGGATTACGAGTCACTTTCTAGTCGCCTGCATGTCGTAAATTCTCGAAATATATCGTGCTGCTATATTGTTGAATATCTTGGTGACGGGTTTCTCGGCCCTAAATTTGAGCGAGGGATACGAAGCCGAACAAATGGTTCTCAAGCGAATTAGATGCAGCGTGTAACGGGGCACGCTCTTACCAGATGACTGGTAAGACCGTGCGTTGGCTGAACACAAGGCTGCGTGCTTTCGACGTCACGTACATGTGGCGTGAGGAAGCGCAAGGAAGTAAACAGAACTTGAAAGCTCTGTCTAAGGGAAAAAGTAGAACTGTATTTGTTAGGTAATTGTAAAATGCAAGCCCGCAAAATTATAAATGTACGCCTTATAAAAACCAAAATTTGTTTTTGTTTAATGTACCCTCTTGTGTAGGAAAAGCATTCACAACGTTGCTCATCAGGCGACAGTCTTGTTGTCAAACAAACAGGACGATGTACGCATCGGGAACGTGTAGGATGAGTGTGGGGATGCTGACAACTTGCTGATGAGTTAATGATTGGAGTTAAATACACCCACTTGTGTAAATAAAGCATTCAGAAGGTTGCTCATCAGGCGGCAGTGATGCCGTCGAACATGCAGGACGATGTCCGCGTCAGGAACGTGTGAAATGAGCGTAGGGTCGCTGACAACTCGCTACTAAGGGTCTTATGCTGTTTTTTTAAATGCCAGATTGAATTAGAGATCGAGCGGCACATAAAATATTGTATCAGCTTCGACAGCATCATATAAACTACCAAAGCCATTGCTCAAGTGCACTGGTAGCCCTGCAGCTTGCAGAGTGCAACAAAACAATTTACAAGACGCCGCGGACGATTGCGCTCTGCGCCCAAACGGCTGTATATACAGCCCGTAATCGTGGATGAACGAAGTGATGCTTCTGAGTGGTGAGAAAGAGTCGCACAACTTGTGCGTGAAGGACAACGATTTTGTGCGACGCGTCAATATAGTGTGAAGGTATTGAGTCAATGTTTTATGCTATAGATGGCAATCATGAATCAGAATCCTTACTGTTTACTCTCCTGCATATTATCGCTTGCGGACTGATACCAGAAATGTATTAATTCCTAGCAATAGGATTTCCTACAGATCACATACGGTTACGCCATGCATACAAATAGTATTGTTTGGCGTCATATAACGTTACAAGGAAGGTATATGTTACCAGGAAGTATGACATTGTATGGTTTGACATAATAGCCAACCTTATTCTAACAATTTTACGTAGGATAGGTAAATTCTACACATTTGTATCAGCCACCAATACTGTTGTTGAATCCCCGATACGATTAGAATATTGCAAGTGAATGATAAAGTAGCAATATAATCTTTTCTTACCCATACTGTTGTTATATACACATAGCTGTGAATTGAGTGTTCCTCATTCTAATTTCACAGGAACTTAAAGGGTAACGTCTCTGCTGAGGGATTGCTATCAATATCATTGTCGGTGCTTCCAGATGCCTTTCCGTTTTTGTGGAAAAGTTCTTAGATTATGCCTGGTACCCCTTTGGCCACATACACCGCAATTTCTACAAGCTGCCGCTTCAACTTATTCGAATCTTGACGCGTCTCATTGAGTTGAGCTGCTTTCTTTGGCATAAATACACGGTGGTGGACGTTTGTTCTGGACCCCGTTGGGGCGAACTTTCGCACTTGCCATTGACGGATTCGCCAAATTGTATATCTGCGACCCGATCTCTTCAAGCTGGTGTTCGATGACCGCTGTTGATGGAAATAAAAAACGATACGTTGATAGCATGGTTTGAGCGAGATCTTCTATATTTACGCTGTCAATATCGATTTCCACTTCCAGATGCAAAACTGGTGAATCGATTGATATTTCTACACGCCAAAGGAGCTATTGAGCACGAAAATCATTAATATGGAGGACTCCTTCCGAGAGTTTTTGTGCTAGTATTGTTGGCACGCACAGTAACCCTAATATGGTGCTAAATGCTTTAGAACAATTAAGTCGACACATATTAAGTTCATCTAATAGTAGCATTTCATCGTAAACTTTCATTAGCGCATATCTTGAAACAGACTGAACCACATCGGTACAAAAATATTTTTTATGATCATTCCACACTTCAATAGTACAACCGTTAATGAATCCTCCTAATTCAGCCACAGAATTGAGCAAAGCAACCTCAATATTATTGCACACATCTCACAGGTCCATGGTCGACAGCTTAACATACATTTTTAATGCGGCACGAGCTCCCTCCACTCTTGACGTGTCAACATTATCAAAATGAAAAACAATATTTGTCTATGCAAATACAAAGAGGGTAATAAAAAGGATCCACTGGCGTGTGATGTAGTCAAGATACCTTCTTCTTCTCAGAATATAAATTTTGAAAAAATATGCCATGCCTGAGTCCATTTCTCTTTTGAGTCTGACTGCATCATCTGCAGGTGGACAATATCATTAAAAATCAAGCAAATTTGTAGACAAAGCTACATGAACCTACCTCCATTTACTGCTTTATATACTCGTTCCAATCATCCACATTAAAATGTTGGCGACAATTTCTGAGCAAATTATTTGCAACATGCCAACGACATTACAAATTCTTTGATTGAGGAAATACACTATCAATCGCAGTAAGAAATCCATCAACACAATCAGTTGCAACCATAATCGGGTGGGTGGCACGATGCACGGCACGTCGGTTCGTGGGCTGATACAACTTCGCAAAACGATCTTGCGCCCATTTGTATTATTTAGTGTATTCGTTCCGTACACAAAAAAAGCAGGCGAAGAATATAGTGTACACGCTACTAAGGCCAACTACGTGTAGAAAGGAAAGCAAAATCGGTTGGTCTGTACGTACTATCCATCATCATCGCATGCGGATATTGGTGCCGAAGATCGATCGCAGTTGAATGCGCACAACAGGTAGGTCATTTGCTCTTCACCATCACACTCGTACTATAACTGTATTGCTTTTAACAAAAATCATCCATAAGTGACTCCTTCGGTTTCTGTCCTCTCAAGCTCTCTTTCCGGATGCGAAATTGCTCGTCGTATATAGTCTATTCGTGCGCTAGTGTACCTGGGTACTCTAGACTTAAAGTAATTAATGCCTCTGTTAGGGACACACCCAGGTTGGTATTAAGCTCCACCATGAGCTTTGATATCTTGTTAAGGAGTCGTGCAGCTGTATGACCAGCTATATCAAGTGTGGGCGGATGTTCCATACTTTATTCCAGACTTTTATGTAATAAATGCCATCTTTTTTGACCCGGGCATAGAGCTAGAACTTACAGTTGCATATCGTTGTGT